TGTAATAAGTATTGTACTTTAGTGCTTTCAAGAGCACTAAACTTTTTGATGGTTGGATGATCTTAGCTTAGAGCTCTTTTCCAACCTTGATGATTATTAGATATATAAAATATATTAGTATGGAATTGGAGTTCCAGAAAAAAGTATTTGTGCCAATTCCAGAGGTATTATAGATGTTTAAGCAGCTAGATGTTGCAGTAGAATTAATGAACTAGTATGTCAAATGAGGAACTACACATCCAGTCCTGAAAAAACAAATGCACATTCAAGACTGTGTGATGTTGATATATGCTGATAACTTAAATGTTTTCTGTTGACAGGTAGTATCAGCTGCTCGTATCCTCCTGAGAAATCCTGGAAATCAAGCTGCTTATGAACATTTTGAGACCATGAAAAACCAGTGGATTGATAATGTAGAAAAAATGACAGGTAAAGTAGGATTCTTGGTTGGGGATCCTACCTGTGGGTAGCTAGTTTGTATAGATTTTTTTCTCCATTCTGTTTGGATTGATGAACCATGCTTAAGAGTAGTGGCTGGTTAAAAAAAAATTTTGAGGAGTAGGAATGTGCTGACTCCAGAAATATGTGTATGTTACAGCATATACACAATAGCTGGGGCTTCATATGTGTCAATACTGAGCTGCAGGGGTGCAAATCCAGCTTTAGTTCTTTTGTGGGAAAACCAGAATGCATCAGTTTGTTTGCCATTGCTATTCTAGCAGAGTATCACTGTGACAATTAAGGGTTTTTTGGTATAATCTTGGCATGTTGAAATAGGACAGATAATTAAGTGAGGGTAAGGAAATGTTTAAAATGTTGCAACAGCTTGATTGAAAACAATGAATAAAACAAAGCTACTGATCTACTGAATCTTGCTGAGACACTGAAGTGTTTCAGTCCTTCCCAAGTGCAGATGCTTTGCACTCATCTGCTGAACACGTGACTGTGTAATACCTCCTTCTCCATCCCAATAATTAACGTGTGGGTATTTCAAATCTCACTGCCTTGTCACTGTGGATCACCCTTATGTAAAGCATAGCCAGAGGGATATTTCCTTTTGAATGCATGGGAGAGGTACAACAAGTACTGAATATGCTTAAATAGATTAAGTGGGAGGAAGGAATCTCTGCTGCATATGCTGTCTAAGCCAGTTCTTGACTGAAGCAACATTGCATGACGGATGAATAAGAGCTTGGGCTGTCATTAGCAAGCTTGACCGTGGTTACTGTTCATAGGTACCACAAAATCAGAAGTTAAACTGCAGTACTGTATTCAGTCTGATTCCCATGGCCTCCTCTGCTCTTCCCCACCCCCTAGTTCTAAAATACTTTTCTAGCTGTGAACTGTCTCTGGAGTACTCAATATTCCCTTCCACAGATGAAACTAGAATATTAATGTGCTTAACTTTTGTTCCAGGCTTGGTGGATGAAGCCATTGATACTAAATCGCTGTTGGATGCATCAGAAGAGGCTATTAAGAAAGATCTTGATAAGTGTAAAGTTGCCATGGCCAACATGCAGCCTCAGATGTTGGTAGCTGGTGCCACCAGCATTGCCAGACGAGCAAACCGCATCCTGCTGGTAGCAAAACGGGAGGTTGAAAATTCAGAAGACCCTAAATTTCGGGAGGCTGTTAAAGCAGCCTCTGATGAGCTAAGTAAAACTATATCACCGATGGTAATGGATGCTAAAGCTGTGGCAGGAAACATTTCTGATCCTGGTAAGGATTCAATCAGCTAATTTCAAATGTATGTTTACTGACTGAAGATGACATGAAGTCATGCTCATTTTTTCTCATACAGCTGTGTATCCTGTTTTATGCAAATACTGTGGACAGTTAAATCCCAGAATGATGAAATCAGGGTCACACCACTAACTGCTGTATCCTTCTCTGTTCAAATGCAGTCAAAGGCCTTTGGCATATTCAAGGGAAAAGAATTCAGCATTGTAGTTTGATATGTAATTTCATAATCTTAATTAGAAGTATTTATCACTTGTTTTCAGTAGTACTACTTCATATAAGAAAATATTACATAATTTCTTTTATTTTAAAAGTGGTTCAGAGAATTACTTTGGCTATTGGCAGTGACTATTACTCAGCCTAGGCTTTATTTTATGCATGTTGCATATGACAGTAACATTTCAAACATGTAAGTTCACTGTAAATAATTTGATGGGTTTCAAATACACATATAAATGTTCTTGGCACAGCCCATTATAGAAGTAATTTTTGGGGGTAGTGTTCTAAGTATTACAGAATGCTATTAAACTGATATTAAACTGGTAATGGGATTTTTGTTCAGGTTTGCAGAAGAGTTTCTTGGATTCTGGATACAGAATTCTGGGAGCTGTGGCCAAAGTGAGGGAAGCCTTCCAGCCTCAGGAACCAGATTTCCCCCCTCCTCCTCCTGACCTTGAACACCTTCATGTAAGTGCAGCATAGATGGTATCATAATATACAGTTGTCACTGACATGTGAATTACACACTGAACACCTTCATGTAAGTGCAGCATAGTTGGTATCATAATATACAGTTGTCATTGACATGTGAATTACACATTGAAATTACTTGAGTATATTTTTATTCCTTAGAAATAAGATGCATTGTCTGGCCAGCCATAAATACAAGTAGCCTCAAGCGTATATTTTTATTCCTTAGAAATAAGATCCATTGTCTGGCCAGCCATGAATACAAGTAGCCTCAAGTCTGAAAAATACCAATCCAGTCTTCAAGAGATTAAAACATGTTATTTTCTTTAACAGAATGCACTTGATAAACTGGAAAAAGGCTTGAGGTCATGCAATTATGTCTTGCCATGACACCATCCTTTACTCGATCTGTGCTCTATTTCATTGTACTGACTAAGACTTTTGCCTTTCTTAGCTGACTGATGAGCTTGCTCCTCCAAAACCACCACTGCCAGAAGGTGAGGTTCCCCCACCCAGACCACCACCACCAGAAGAAAAGGATGAAGAATTCCCAGAGCAGAAAGCAGGAGAGGCAATTAATCAGCCCATGATGATGGCTGCTAGACAGCTGCACGATGAGGCCCGGAAATGGTCTAGCAAGGTAAGGAGTTGCTGTAAGTGTCTTGTGCTAAAAGGATTATCTTGTATTTTTATTTTCGGATCAGTGTGTTCTGTCCAAAGTCAGTTGTCTGTTGCAGAGTCTTTTATAGACCAAGTAGTAAAAACACTGCTGTAGGAGGAATCAGAAACCCTTTCAAGTTCAGAGTGAACTAGGGTCAACTGCTCTAATACTTAGAATTGCTAAAATGCTTTATTAACATACCCCTGGGAGCACAAATATTCCTTGTATGCTAAGCTGTGTGATCCTTGATGCTAGTATTGCCTAGAGAGCCACTGATCCTTATGCCTTTCCAGTCTGACAAGCTGATTTCTATATTTAAGTGACTTTGAAAAGTCTGTATGGGAAAGTCTGTATGGATGTTGCAGATGCCAGCTGCAGGAATCGTGAGCTGGTTTGTCTTAATTCTGGAAGGAGCTGCAAGTTCCTTTGCAGTTAATCTGGTGCATGTCTTAATTCTGGAAGGAGCTGCAAGTGACTTTGCAGTTAATCTGGTGCTTTTATGATGGGATAAGTGACCATATATAGGTGACCTGGTCTCATGCTGTTTTTGTAGTCAGTCACATTAGCTATCAAGGCTTAAGTCCTTAATTTCCTTACCATTTCAGTGCTATGACAAAGTAGTGTCAGTTCATCTGTCTCAGAAATGCTAATATCACTTTGGGTTTTTTGCCTGCCTTTCTTCTCCTGTGCTAATATCACTTTGGGTTTTTTGCCTTTCTTTCTTCTCCTCCTTCCCCAAAAGCTACATGCTTTTCTCTAGCAGAATCTGAGTAAGAACCTTTAAGATTTAGGCTTCTGGAAGTGTAAATTAAAGGGTCATAATCTGGCTTTTTAAATCTCCCCATTTTTGCTCACCAAATTAGATGGTGAGTGAGAAGATAAACTTGAATACCTTACAGAATCAACATCACTGCTTTGGCCTTAAAGGAAGGACCTGGTTTGGAAGTACAGATAAAGTACAAAAGAAGTTCTGCAAATCTATTTAGGTGTCTCTTCCCCAAAGTGAAAAGCTCTGTTTTCCCTATACTTCTGGATATACAAAACAGATTTTTATGTTACCAAAGAGACAGAACTGGAATATATTAGTCATCTCAGAAGGTAGTTTTGAAGCTAAAAGCCTTAATTTCAGCTTCCTAAAAGTGTTTTGATGTTGGAATCCAGAATGGGTAACTTAACAATACAGAGCAGGTAATAAAATGCTTTTACCATGTATATACTAAATTACCTATATATACTATATGCATTCCAAATTAAATAGTGCAACTGTTGAAATATTTATCCAAGCCAAGCAGCAGGCCTTAAAACTCCTTGCTCATTGTGAAAGACCTCTCATCTCAGTGACTTGAGATTATAAAACACTGTTTTCATTGCTGTTTCTTTAATTTGAGACCACCAAACCAGGGAGCTAGCCTATCAATCATCCTAATTCTTTTTTAGCAGTACTATTTTAGCAATAACAGTTCAGTTATTCTGACAATGTTTTGGGGTGAAGAAATTTTAAAAACACTTTTGTAGTCTCTGAAGTCACTTTATTGGGTGGAAGAAGGACTGATGTGGTGCTACTGAGGAATATAGGTTAGACATGGAAAGACAAATAAAAGGTCTAGCTCATACTAAATCACAACAGAGTTTGTGTCAACTGTTTTTTTGCATTTTTGCTAAATGACTTTAGTCCCCTGGTACTTTACCTATAGAAAAGTGGAAGGGTGAACAAGTATTTAGTCTTTAAAAACTATTGATAATATTCTTCATTCTTGTAAGAATTGAAATCTATTTGTTTTTTTTCTTCTTCTGTACAAAAACTCTTATTCCCTCAGTGGCTTCTACCTTTCCTGTGCTCCATTTCTCTCATAGGACACAAACCAAACCCTGTCTATTGCTTTAGCTTTCCCTGCCTTTCTCCCTCATTTGGATACATCAGAGAATGAGAGATATTTGGAAACTTTTCATTAGATTAAGACTTATATAAAAAATGCCTTTGAAGGTGAGTTGATTTGGCCTTATATGGAAATTGCAGCTTCCAGAACATGTGTGTTTTTGTTGGTGTAGATGTTTTTTTCTATAAAAGGCCATATCTTAAGCAAAACACAGTTGTGAATCCAGTTTTTGGTGAGGGTAGCTTGACTTTTATCACACTTGGCTTTAGTCGAAGAAACACAGTTAGTAAACATGTAGACTATTTTTGTATTAAAATGCTGCTGTAATATTAATGCCTGTATTGTTATACCTCTTACTTCTTCCTTGAGTTCTACCCTAACAAGATATTTGCTTGAATCCTCTTTTCTTGAAGGTAACGGATACAACATATTGTGGCAAAACAGTACCATATGTTACATAATCCTCTTATTCTACTAATTCTGTTTCAGTCTTCTGTAAGAACTGTAATATTCACAGTATTCATAACATTCAGTATCACCTCTTCATTTCATGATCTGTTTTTGCTCTTTTCCATGTTCTCTGTAGTACATCAGTACTCACTTCTACAGTGTCTTCCATCCCATCGTTGGTTTTGCTCTACAGCAAGCAGTGTCAGTGGTTTTCATGTGTTCCTGCTGTTATCTCCTCTTATCACATATATGAATGGGCTTCCATACAAAGCTTTTTATCTGCACAAATGCCACAGTCATCAGCTGCTGTGCCTGCTTCTGTGCAGTCAGAACGGCTTCACTGAAACAGAAAATCCATTCATTTCACCGTTGTCTTGCCAGAAAAATGTTGTTCTGTGAGTCAGCCTCTGTAGAAGCTGTATGCTCAGCTGAAAAATGTTGCTGCATATTTGAATTGTGACTTCTTAATATTTTTGGTAACTTTGGTTCACAGGTGAAATGTTTGTTTCTTTCTGCTAATCTTATATTCCTTCCCCTCCTCCCTCTGACCTGATCCTAGAGCTGCCTTGTCAGATCCTGAGAGGCCAAGAGGATGTTTTGGTCACTAAAACTGCTCAGTTGGTGCTCTTCTACCAAATTCTGCTTCTTGTACTAACTGTGCCCTGTTTCTCCACCCTTGCTGCCACCTGCAAAGCCTGATGTGACTGTGATTAATGAAGCGGCTGAGGCTGGTGTAGATATAGATGAGGAGGATGATGCAGATGTTGAATTCACTCTCCCCTCTGACATTGAAGATGATTACGAGCCTGAGCTGCTGTTAATGCCAACCAATCAGCCTGTTAACCAGCCCATTCTGGCTGCTGCTCAGTCTCTGCATCGGGAAGCAACCAAGTGGTCTAGTAAGGTACTCCTGAGTCCCTGGGGACTGATCCGCGTGCATCCAGCCATTGGAACGCTGACACATTTGCACCACTCTTGATCCCTGCTGGGCCCTGCCATTCTGAATGAATAAGTGTGTCTGCACTTCATTTTAAGGACTGAGAGTGGCTTCACGAGTTTGCTAGATCTGTTTGTCAGTGCCGGATTGAAGCTTGATTTGGGTCACTTATTAATATTCAAAGGCTTCCTCTCCCTTTGCATCTGCCTGGTCTTCTTTGTTCTGGCAGGTTTCAAATTGTAATAGGGGTTGTCTGCCCTCCCCCCTCCCCATTCTTTTTTCCATCCATTTGGGCTACCTGGGAAGCCATGGTTAATGGTTTCTTAATGACTTCCAGATACAGCAGAGTATACAGCATTCAAGAAGTCATTTAACATGTCTGTTGTGCTTTGCCTCCATTGATGCCATCAATTAAAATCCCTTCCAACAAGGAATGGCTGTGTATGGCAGTGTTTATCGAAGAGGACTGAGTGACTGCTGCTTGCACTGCGCTGTGTTGCAATGCTGGTCTTGAGAGAATTCTTTAACGAAGAAGCTGCACTGAATGCTGTTAGCTGCTGAATTGAGATCGTGTTTCTATGAAACCAGTGGAAATCTAACATGAGGTTCAGACATTCACAAGTAGCCTGTCTCGTCTGTCTAAGCACAAATGTTTGCAAGACTGGGCACTTTTCATAGCATGCTGCAAAAAATAAGGTTGGTGTCCCATAACAAACAAAAGTTAGGGGTATGTGTATATGTATGTGTGTGTGTGTTTACGTACATGGATACACTAAACTATTTTAATAAAAAGGGCTTTAAAAATGTTCTTGTCCTTTTCAGATTCTGATGCTTGGATAACTTGTTAGAGGGCTTCGTAAATGACACTGGTCCTAATTTCTTGATCCTTCTACGGGAAAACATGGAAAAGCTTTGTGTTATGTCATTTGCATCCTAACTGGTTATACTAGCAAACTGTTTAACTAATAGGTCACGGTAATGAATAGTTCAGCTTCTTGTGTCACCTGTATCTGTGAAATGTCTGGGATACCTTCTGGAATTTGCTCATAGTGAGTCGTGGAAGTGTGTGCACAGGGGTAGAGAATACATTGGCTGAGTTGGGTTCTTGCTGGGTACTCTTTGCTCTGAACTTTGTCAGTCATTAATTGTAGTATGAGACCAAGGAAAGAGTATGCGAATACTTCAGCTCACTCTGCTAATCTCTCATCCACACAACAGGAATGCTTCCAGGCACGGAATAGTTCACTTTTGACTAAAAACTTTCTACAGAGGGGAATAATATAAACATACTAACAGACTACTAACAATGGATCAGCTAGGTCTGCTTTCCCTTGCACTAGGTTTCTCTCTGGAACAGTGTATAAGAAATGGTTTTGCCTTGGCCTTACTTCCCATTTCAAATATTTCTCAGATGTATTTCTGTGACTGTAATTTTTGACGTAAAAGAAATCTGGATTTTAATGTAAGCAATAACACTATCTTTTGACCTACCACATTCTTCTCTCCTGGAAGCTTGATTTTAAAGGGGGAGATTTTATCTGAAAGGAAGATTTATTTCCAAGGAACAACTTTAAAAAAGCAGTAGTTGCATGTCATTTCCACATTACCTGTGACAACAGTTTTGTATGTCAGATTCTGTTCCATTTGTCCTTCAGCATTATAGCAGCACAGATGATGCTTTAACAACTTCAGTTTCAGATACCACTGAAAATTTTATGCTCAACTGTTACAACTGCCACTATTTAACTTAATCAGTGCTATTTGGTTTAACAGCTATTTAGCACACTTTTTTAGTTTAAAAAAAGTCCTTATATATATATATATATATGGAATTTCAAATGCTAATAACATGCTTTGTCTTAAAATCTAGTCAGCAGAGCAGTGACTCTCATTCCATGGACAAAACTAACACTTGACAACTTCTTTTTCAGTTTTGAAGCAAACTTTTTTCCTGAGTGTTAGGAACAAAAATGTCAGAAAATGTAATGAGTACAGATTTTCCCTGTTCCTTGAAGAAACCTCTTCTGTCTTCACAAATATTTCTTCCATTCTTAACTTCTTCCAAGTGTTGCTCCCAAAATGTAGACTGCCATTCAGTCGTGACTTCAGCGAAGCTTCTGTCGTGACACTGACTGTGCTGCTCTCTGCAGGGGAACGACATCATCGCTGCTGCCAAGCGAATGGCTCTGCTGATGGCAGAGATGTCGCGCCTGGTGAGAGGAGGGAGCGGCAACAAGCGTGCCCTCATCCAGTGTGCCAAGGATATTGCCAAGGCCTCGGACGAAGTCACCCGGTTAGCCAAGGAGGTGGCAAAGCAGTGCACTGACAAGCGCATTAGAACAAACCTCCTGCAGGTAATGAGCTCACTTGTAAGTGCCTCAGATACTTCTTTTGCTGCTCCTCTCTTAGTGTGGAGGAGCACAGGAGTCGTGCCAGTAAATCATGTGTATCTTTCCTAGGCTTGTAAAGTTTTGTCAAGTTCTGTGTCTGTGTTTAGATCCCATATATTCTACCAAGTTAGGATTTGATTGCACGTGAACGGAAGCTGCTCACGTCCAAAGAAGTTTTGAAAAAATACTGTGCTATGAATACTGGTCTGTCCTAAGTCTGCCTTGTTTTGTACTTCATCTGCTCATTCCTTTTATCAAAGAATAGTAGCAGAAATAGAACACTCCATAGTTTTTTCAGTCTCAGCCAAATATATATACACTGTGCCATTCCTAACCAAATAGACCCTTGAGGAACATCTGGAAGAAAGGACGAATGTTGGCTTTGACCCAAAAATTCCCAAAGCATGTGAAACAAGATTCAAGTATCCCACCAATATTTATCAGAAAGTCTTGAAGATTATATGATCCCCTCTGTGCTTATTAATTTTCTCGTAGTAAAATTAAAAAGCTTATATGAAAAAAACCCCAATAGATAATGTATTGGTTCAATTTACAATGTGTGGTGTTTTTTATCCCCGTTCCGTAGGTCTGTGAGCGAATCCCAACCATCAGCACACAGCTGAAAATTCTCTCCACTGTCAAAGCTACCATGCTGGGCAGAACTAATATCAGCGATGAAGAGTCGGAACAGGTAAGAGGTGTTAAAACTGATGATGGTAGCAGGGAATTGTTGCTCAGTTTTACAGGGAAAAATACACAACATGTTCTCTCAGATGTGTTCTGGGACTGTGACGTTGGGAAGTTCACCTCAGCTGTTTAGTGAAGATGATTTTAGTGTAGTACCTTGGTGTCTGGCTGAAAAGCTACAGTTTAATAGAGGAACTCTCCGACAAGCTAGTCAGGTTGGAATGTGCTGATCCTGTTCCTGCCCCTCTGGTGTCCCAGACAGTCGCTGGGGAAGGACTCGGTGCCGACGGCTTGGGCTGGGGCAGCGGCGCCCCGTGCCGGACGTGGCGGGATCGGCGCTCTCCGACCTGTCCCACACACACTTCTTGGGTGGTTTGTGCATCTGAGAGGTGACTCTGCTTAGCACACTAGGCTTTGACTCAGATTTTGCACAGATATACAGGGAGAAACGGGAAAGTCTTGTTTGAGTCAGGATAACACTTGCTGCCTTTCAGTGGCTTTGCTTACTTTTCTCATCGTTAAAGTCAGCAAACTGATGCTTGGACTGGGAGGCTGTGCACAAAGGGTTTCCAACTTGGTATTTACTGATATATTGGGAATTTTTCTTTTTCTTGACAGGCAACTGAGATGTTGGTTCATAATGCCCAGAATCTCATGCAGTCTGTGAAGGAAACTGTGAGAGAAGCTGAAGCAGCATCCATTAAGATAAGAACAGATGCTGGATTCACTCTTCGCTGGGTCAGAAAGACCCCATGGTATCAGTAAACACTTGCCCACATAAGTATTGTTTTCTGTAACATAAAATGCCTTTTTTTGGAAACAGAAGAGATTTATTAACAGCAAAAGGTGCTGTATACATGAGCTTAAGACTAGCTTATGCTAATGCCCCATTCTAAGGGTATGAATTATAAGATAATGCATTTCAAATGTCTTTGGAACACATTTGATTTTCAACACCTCAAATTTTCTGCCAACACTAGACTGTTCTTAGAGATTAATTATTTTTTCTTTTCAAGATTCTCTTAATGAATTCTGTACTCCCAGAAGCACATTTCATTTATGCACTGTATATTCCAGTAGTTTCCATGTGATGATATAAAACATGGACCTCACTTTAAGCTTGTCTTGAGAGTTTAGGACACTATTGGTTACTTGGCAGTTTTTTAGAGACATTATGAAAACACTCAACTTTTCAACAGAATCTTAGCTGGCTGTTCTTAAACCATGCAGAAGTGATGGAAGGTGTGGGGTTTTTAATTAAAAAGGGGGGAGGTGGGGCAGGAGAACAGTTGTAAACTGAGGATTAAAATTCCATGTCTGAAATGATACTTTTTTTGCTTTTGATTTTTGCCTGGCAACAGTACTTTAACAAAAACTGGAGCTGTCTCTGTCACTCTCCTGTTGCCCTGTAGGTTGGCATTCCAGATTTCTCGTACTGTACTGAAATGTTTTGCAGTGGATGTTAGTGGCACAGTAACAGCTTAAGCCTCATGGCTGGAGACCTTAAATCATGGAACTCTTTCTCCTTGTTCAATTCAGCAGTGTATTGAGTTGAAAAATCCTGGTTCTCTTAAGCTAGCTGCATGTCCAGGACCAGAAAATGCCACATGCTGCTCTTTCTTTTTGAAAACCAAATGAGCACATGCAATTATCTTATTTCCCCCTTCCCTCCATCTAATGTGATTCCAGCCGCTCAAGGTGGAAATGAAAAGATAAAGTTTTTCAATTAAAAAAGGCCTTTTGCCTCACTGCCCTTGTTTCCAACAATGCATAAGGTTTTTGAAACCTGAGCTCTGCAGGGACATGAAACCCTTTTTAGATAGTCAGATGGCAACAGCAAATGGTGGTTCCTAATGCTGCACACACATGGTTATTTTCACAGCTTTTGGAGTTTGGAGGCTCAAAATCTTTTTTTCAAGTTCTAGTAATAATGAATTGAACAAAGTGTTACTGTACCTTTAAAGAGAATTCCTAAACAAAATGACAACAAAACTCCCCAAACTCCCTCCCCTGTACCAAAATAGACTTGTGATGTTTTTATCCTTCCATAACTGAACATGCCTTCACACACATATATATTTTTATATTTATATATATGCATATGCATTCATTTAATTGCTCCATAGTCTCTTTCGGCATTTGACCAAAAGGAAAACTATTGTTTGAGAATGAGTTTCTACACTTGCAAGGAACACTTGCAGACTCCTGCCCTGATCAGCGCTGACCTCATAATAGCCTCTTAATTTGCTGAAAATTGTTGCATGATCAAACCACCTTGAATAGAAGTGTCCTTGTGGAAAAACTGCTCAGTCTTGACAGCTCAAAGGAAGAGACACAGCACAGTCAGCTGTCCTTTACCTGTCTGCAACAGTTATTCTACTCCTGGACTTTGTCCCCTCCACCCCCTTCATTGCACTGTTATCTAAAAAGGGAAGTTAAACTGATGATAATACATCTGCCTCAAACCAACCTCAGCAAGAGAAGGCACAGGTTTGTTCTGATTTGCTCCTTGTGTCTGGGTGTTATGAAATATGTGGTACTTAGGATCTTTCCTTAGTGTTCTCTTCCTGCAGTTATGTGCAACAGGAAGAGGAAGGAAGGAGTGCCAGAGCCTTAACCTGGATGTCTTGCATTTGGTTGGTTTCTATCAGATCTTTAACATAATTTTAATGTAGTAATTTCTATTTAATAGTAAATAACACTGAATAAGTAGGGATTATTTTTAAGGGATTTTCTAAATAGTCTTCCTGTATTGCTTTTCAATGCTCCTCACATCCCCCAGCCCCAATCCAGGCTTCTCCATGAGATGTTTTTTATTTTAGCATCACTGTTTAGTTGCTTGACTGATATTAATGCAATATTACTAATGCCTTTAATACATAATTGTTTATGCCAAAGATCACTCTTTGTTTATTGAGGAATGTTTGCAGGAGAGTTATGAATCATGGTTGCCTTTGATATTCTTCCAGAATGTTTGCTCTAAGTTCTTGAACTGTTTTGTAGAAGCAGAGATCCTTGTCCACCTTATGCAATTACTGCGTTCTTGAACACTATTGGTCGTCAGACCCCAAGTGCAGCAAAAATTTGAACAAGACCATGAATGTCACTTAGAAATGTTTTACCACTATAAAACTTTGTTTATAAACCAAAATGTATTGTATAGTCTAATGTTTTCAACCTTTCATTGGTTCTGTTAAAACAATAAAAATACATTTGTACAAATGTCAGTTTGAGTGTTAATACTAACGGAGCAGTGGGTAATGCTGCAGAAAGCTAAAGCAGCAGAAATACTAAAGCAAAGAACAGTTGTTTCTACATGTTCTGAACAAAAAAAAGTGCAAAGTTCTCAAACAGGAGGAAATTAAACCAAGTTTTTTTCTGTCCTTTGTGCCTGTCAAACTAGAAATTAAAGAAATTCCTGGAAGCTGTGGTCAGGGGGAGAAAACAGAAGTTTTTCCAGAGGCCTGGAGTCATCTGTTCTGTTAGCCCCAAACAACGTTCTGAAAACTTGAAATGGGGTTTGCCTGATCCTGTCAGGGATCCCTGCTAAGGGAAGAACTGCTATTCTGCCCAGCATTTTGTTAATCTGCTTTGCAGACTGAATGCAAGGGCAGTTAGCATGGAACCACTGTCCTATTTCCTTCAGTCCTTCACTGTAAGAAGCTCTTACACTTTTTCTCGCTAAAAATTTCTAACGGCACACACTGTGTTCTGACTTTGTGGAACCAATGCTTGTTGGTGCTGTAGGACCAAGTGTAGTCCCACAGGGCCAGAAGGCACCTGTGATTTAGTAATAATAGGTAAAACTCAGAGTTTTGTAGTGTCACACAGTTCTCCCCATATCTGAGAGAAGATGAGAACCTGAAAGACAACCACCTTTGTCAGCACTGCCAGAGCTGGACACCTAGAGAAGGGGACGCCCAAAACTTGGCAGCGTAATTCCTCACTAATGACATCTTCTCATTCCTTAAGCTATTCATACAGGTGCTGGTGTGATTTTTATTTTAACAAGAGGACATGAACACAATCCTCCTGCAGAGTCTGCAGCTGAGTGCCCTGATTTTGGAGACATGGCTGCAGCTGGCACACCTAGAGCAAAAGGTGTCAGCCTCACACAGCAGACACCATTTCCTTGATGGAACACATCTCCATGCCCAGGGTGGTTTCCTACCAGGTGAGTGCAATTCTTGTTGACCGTGAGTTCTGGTGAACTGGGCAGTATGGATCAAAGCTTTCCCACAGACAGCAGGACTGTGTGTGCTGCCCTGGTGCCTGAGTTACAGGCTGGAGGGCAGTGCTGGTGTCAAGGCTCACCACTTCTGGTATCAGGTTATGTTCTGTACCAGTAAAGGTGTCAGTTGTGAAAGCAGATGGTGCAGTGTTTCCAGACTGCTGATGCAGAGAGCAGTTCCAGTTATTCATACTTCAGCTTGGGATGTTATCAGTTACCTCTGCAGACATGATTTCTTGTACAATTCCAGTAAATGAAGGATGTCATTTGCTGGAACATGGAGTGGAAATGTAGGATGTGTAATGAATTGATGGATGTTTCTCCAGTTGAAAAAGGCAGACTAGAAGGTTGGTGGCTTTTAAGGACAGTGTTGTGTTTACACAAATGCAAGGCTTTCTTATTATAGGTGCTAGTTCTTCATAGTGCTGTTTCATCTACTGTAATTTCAGAAGTTCAAAATGGTTGTTTTTGGCAAAGTTTACCCTAGTGATATTACCAAAGTTACCAAGAGATGATACATGCTTATTTCTTTTGTTACTGACTTGCTGCCAGGGTTCAGATGGGTTTCCCCTCCTCTTTTCAGGGGGGAAATGTTTTGTCCCAGTATTTGAAATTTTGACTACTGAATGACATTAGCTCCTACTCTTCATCTGAAGCAAAGTTAGCACCTATTCATCAATTTGCAAGCCAGATAGGTTAGGGAAACAAAGGGGTTCCAGTATCCCACCCTTCTTTAATTCTGAACTCAGCCCACCATGTCCTGACCAAATGCATGGTTTGGAGCCTGATGGGCACTGTGGAGACACCACACTGGTGTATAAGGAGAAGTTCAGTCAGCTTTGCATCCTGATTGCTGAGTCTTTGAAATGTCATAAGCTGTTCTCCATTTAAAGAAGATGAAAAGGACCTTACCTGCTGTGCTCCTAACTGACTTTTATAAACTCTAAGTAGCTGCACAGGGATCAAGTTCAGTAAAGACGTCACAAATAGTTATTGTTTAATTGTGTATCAGATGCTTCCTGCCCAAGAGCATCGTGAATTGTTTACAAGAGTGTGAACACTTCACAAGATGAGACATATTTGCAGTAGAGTTCCCTTTATTTCATAACATTAAAGCACACAACCATTAAATACACTTGACACTTCTATTGTGCTATCTAAAAAGCTACGCTCCAAGGTACACACGGCACAAATCTGGTGGCATCCACTTCAAACAAGTGGAACTTCTAAATCAAAGCAAAGGCTTCACATAAAAAATAGATCTTACTCTCTGCAACTGTATTCTTAAAAAAAATGATGGGGATGATGAGATTGAATGGAAAGAAAGTGGATTACCGAAGCAACAATCACCTCCCAGATTTAATGCAGGATGTTATTTTTATCAGCTCATCTGCAGATGGCAGAAGTGAAAGCTGATTAAGGCAAATGCTTCTTAAGAAAGGCGATTTCTTGTAAACAACACAGGAATTATTATTTACTTCATCAGAAGCTTCTCAGGAGTGACACTTGCTATGTCCCAGGCCCCTGGGGGACCTCAGCCCCTCTCGCTGCTGCTATTTCTGAAGGGATTACATGGTGCTTTGTGGAATGCCAGCTTGCAGCTGGCTGGGACAGTAACTCAGCTTTCTTTGCAGGCGGCTGCAGCAGCAAAACATGCCACCAGAAGACTCTTCCAGTGGCCTGTCTGGCCTTCATAATGTGCTTGGCCTCTGGGCTTTGGTATCTGACTGGCAGTGTAGTGTTTGTGACGTTTCGTGGATTGCCTATATCAAACTACTCACCAGCACAACAAGTCAGTAAAAAAAGAGTGAAAGTGTATTAGAAAAAAAGTACCTTATTTTAAAGCCATATTAAGAAAAACTAAGCTATGCTTTCATTTTAAGAGCTGCTGTGCACAAATGCTTTGATCCCAAACTAATCGGTGTCTATTAATTAATTGGCACCTAATTAATAGCAACATAAGTCACTAAGCAGTCAAGTTTTATTTAAGGGGAATTTCCTCTTAGAAGTAGAGCATCTTCTCATGTCCTGACTTGGAATTTTCCTGCTTTTGTAATGTACTTGACACCTTTAAAAGGCTTGTATTTCTCACCATACATGTCTAGGCGATTCACTTTCAGTCCTGAAAAAGACAAAGACAAGTACTAAGTTAAAAGCAGAATGCTAGGAACCACATCAGTCTGCTCCAAAGCCTGTCTTGAGTCACATTAGGATTGGTTAGGAAGCTAATTCTCCTTTCTTTCACAAGTTCATTTGGTTTGAAACAGCAGAAGAGACCATTCTTGTCACCTCATCATAGCTGTTGCCCTGGTAGGGCAACAACTTGTTTCTGTTCTACTCCATGAGCCAACATCCTCCTTCCAGAGATGAACTACTGAACAAACAAGTCTATCTTCCACAGCTCCTGCACTCATTTCCGATCATGAAGATGAAGAAAGGACAAGTTTCAGAATTCTTTTCACTCCAAGTTGTAGTGGCAAGGACTAGCAAACCCTCTGCTGTTAACTCTGGAAGGGCAGTAGTTGTTAATTAGCTACACCTGCAGGGTGTCCCCTGCTTTCTTGCCATTATCTTTGGCATTCAGCCACTAGATCAGCTGTTTTGCTGGATTCAAACTAGTTTAAGAGCAAACTGCAGGACTGTGTTCTTACACAAGAACTGTTATTCACTCGTGATAGTCTAGGAAGTGAAAGGAGCATAGCCTGGTACCTGTCCAGAAAAGTGATACATGTACTACCACAAACTCTCATCCACTGCCTTCAGCCATCCTCCTCTTCTCCAAATGTGAGTCTTCACACTGTTAGCCTGAATCCTGCAAAACTTGCTTGCAGAAACATTCTATTCATGGACAGCTCACATGATTTAAGTGTTTGCAGACTGAGGCCTTGTTTGTTTTAAATTTACTTGTGCACTTACCCCATTCTGATTTTACTTGCAGATTGTTTCAAAGATGAAAAACTAACCAGCTCCAGAAGGAAAGAATAAAAAGGGCATTCTTTAAAATTAATGGAGTTTTATGACCACTAGAAAGGGCTTTAGTGGTACAGGGCTAAAGTAAGTCAAGAGCAGCACACTAAATCATCACCCATCAATCTCCACTGAAAGGATACATTTGCATGTTTAATGCACCAGTCAACAAAGTCCATTCTTCTGTACACTTCTCACAGCCTTTCCTGAGCAAAACAATTGGGGATTCACAATTCCCAGCAATGAGAGTCTCCCAGCAAGGGTAACTGTCAGGTTTGGCTAAATCAGACTTCACTGTTTTAGACCATGCTGACTTCAGATCAGCATCTCTAAATCGGTTTCACACTTCATTTCCTACTGCTACTCATTCTACCAGCACCGATTTCATGTAACACCCACACACTCACCTGAAATTGCAAGCTGTTGTATCTTAAACTGGATGTTTAAACTTGGATTCTCCTCTGGCTTGGGGGCTCCAGACTGCAGGTTCACTATGCCCTTCAGGTTTGGTAGCTTTTGAGGGGTAATTTTGCCCACGTCCCACGCTAACACCTTGTCAGGAAGGAGAGAACAGTAGCAGTAGCTTTCTAGGAAACAACCTATGAGGTCAAGATCATGTCCAGCTTTTAGTCTGCAGGCTGGGCACAGAAAGTAGCCTGGTATCCCTGAGAATGGTCCCACTGGCTGTGAGATGGTGTGGTTAGGGCTCCTGCAGGTATTGGGGTCTTTTTTTCCCAGGCTTTCTTTTGCCCTGTCAGTGTTCCTTACTGGGTCTGTGCACTGAGTACATCTTATTCCCTAGCAACAGTGCTTGATCCTGATGTCAGTTTGGCTCAGCTGGAGCTGTGAAGCTAGGGGAGTAACCAGCACAAAGGTCAGAGGAACTTAAACATGAGAATGAGGACGGCAGGAGCAAGGCACTTGGCCAAAGGAGATGTCTAACCTGAAGTAGCTTTCTTAAGGGTCACTTGTTTACCATTGATTCTTACACTCTGGACAAGATATGTGGACCCAAGTGGGGCCTTTATGCACACACACAAGGTGGTTTGTTTGTTCTTACCATAAACTGAAAACTGGGAAATGCAAAAAACCCTCAGTTCTCCCTAATTCCACAAGCTTTTGCATCCCAAATTCTTGATAAAAACACAGTATAATTTATTTCTGCAGAGAGGAAGGCAGACTGTTTGCTGGGGTTTTTCTTTTAAAAAGATCAAGGTCTATTGTTTTAGAAACAAAAAGTTACTTGGAAAGCTTTCACTTACAATTCTAACCAATTGCTGACTGAGATATTCCAAGGGTGAATACTCAGAGCAGGGTGTTAGAGCCAGCAGAATGGTTTGGCTCCGACTGCATTTCAGCAAAATGGCTCCTGGGTACTAAAAGGCTTCAGGAGCTTTAAGGAATTTAAGTCTCAAACCCCAACTCAGAGGCAAGAAAGCAGGAGCCACATTTTTTTTCAGATACTTTGTCTTCAGGCAGATCTTTTGGAAGATGTTTTTTTCTCATCTCCTGCTCCCTGTTTTTCTGGCTACTTACTGTATGGCTACTGCCTTTTCTCCAGACAAGTGTTTTCACGAACAGAGATTGCAAAATACATCATAGCTGAAACTACCAGCAAAATACTGCTGCATCCACTGAAGAAAAATACTAGGGGAATGAAAGAGCATGGAGAAAGAGAGGAAGGGAAAGAAAAAGATACTGACAAAGCCAGAAATCACAACTGGTGTGTATCTAAGTTTGAAAAAGTAAATTTTTAATTCATAAACATATGCTGAACAGAAAGTTTTCTGCTACGTGTGGAACTCTCCTCCAGTGCTCTACGAGATGGATGACTTGTTCAATGCCATCTTCAATATTAAAATAAATAAAAAGACTTACCTTAGTAACTGGGTCAAATGTATAGCTGCCTTGTGTAGCAGTGAGGTTCATATTAAGTACAGCCTTTGGCATGTGAACTGTCATGATAACTCCTTCTACTGTTTTCCCCATATTCTGTTTTGGTCCAATGGTAACATCAAATCTTCCTGAAGAACTATTTTCCTTAAAACTGATGATGTGTTTCACATATACAGGAATTGCCACCAAGCTGAAAAGATAAGACAGTAGCTGAATGTATCCTGGCTACTTCTCTGCTTGAGAAAATAAAGCTTTCTCATCAATAGTTCTTGTGTTTCTGGCAGGTATTCAAGTTAGAATTAGTTTGTTTCAAAAGTGATACTCTGCTCTTCAACATCACTGCAGAAGTGATTTACTAACAGAGAATCACATGCAAAAATGTGCTTTACTTTCTTACAAATAACTTGTCCTAATCTCTTTTCCTTCATCTGCTTATTTTTTTTAAGTAATCTCACTGAGCCAAATCTCAAAGAGCCAACCATCAAATCAGACTTAGTTTGCAAATATCTGTGGGTTAGACCTTTTTGCTTTATTCTTTTTATTGAAGCTTAGTGTCCTCTATGTACACAGACTTACCCACAAAGCATCTAGCACCAACGATTACTAGGAACAAATAGCCCTGTATTAGTCATGTGTGATTTATCCCACTGAAAAATGATTGCTGAGTATCCACAGCTAACTTAAAAAGAGTTTTTTTGTTTTGGTGGGGACAGAGCAACATATGAGATAAAACGTGAGCACAAGCATTTTAGCAACAATACCAATTCCCCCCTTAACAAGGAGAAGTCTGCAGTTACTCAGGTGGAAAGCAGATGATGGTGTATCTGGAGAATCAGTGTGTCTAAATGGAAACATACTTCTGAGAACTGACACGGTAGGAGATCAGCCTGAAATTGCCATCGGGAGGAATAAAGGAAAGGACTCTCTCGGACTCCCAGCGCTTGAACCGAATGCACGGATGGAAGCTGACATCGTCCAGCAGCCGTGGGTTCTGCAAGCAGTGGCAAAATGGTAAGTGAAATCTCATCAAGTATCAGCAGTTTGAATTAGCTACTGAACTCTACACAACTCCTATTTCTTAGACTCCAAGCACCTTTCCTAGCTGTTACCGGAGACATGTTACTGGGCTAGATGGATTTCTGATCTGACCTGGAACAGCAGCTCCTGTGAGTGTATTTTTAGGTACAGACAAAAGCCATTCCAACTGCTGAGCAATGCAGCTTCTACAACATAATGCAAAACTTGTTATTTTCATGTGTGTAATGCATGAAGTAGTGATTGATTGTGCTCTTAAACACTGATCATTAAGAAAAATAAATCCCGGACAATTATGATTCAGAAATATAGGCTGAATTTACCATGAAAGACAGAGAAAGATCTGGCATTCCAGAGAGCTTAATACACGAATCAATAACACCTTGGATTTCTGCGAAGACTGTGGAACCTGCAGAGGAAAAAAAGCCCAGACACTTAACATTACTGTGAAGGGCCTAACAGACAGGGTGAAGTGCAGCTGGAGGGCACAGATGACATTTGCACAACACTCAAAACATGCCAAGCCCAGATAGGAAAGGTCATTCCAGTTACCTGTGTCCTGGGCAGCTTGCTAAAATACATGAGCCAGAGCAAACAGCTTGTCCCAAAGCAGCTAATTATACTTGTGCCAGCTGTTACACAGGACTTGTACTGGATGTGCTTGAACTGGTTGCCAGCAATAAGCAAATAAGGATTTCAGAATCCGCAAGCTCTGAGTCTTCTTTTCTTTCGTCCCTGTCCCTGGTCTCCAGAAAACTAGTGAGTTGTGTAGTGGTGCATGGAAGTTGAAGCACATTGAAACAGTGAATGTCAAAATGCATCAGATTTGTGCTATAAAGCTCCAGCTAGCCTTGGCTTGCACAAACAAGGCTTGTTTAACAGTGGGATTACATATTCATCTTGATGTTAAATAAATCTACAGCAAAAAACCCCAACCCCCAAAGCAAGAATACCAAGCATCTTACCCAGGAAATGCTCATTTCCTTAAACACCCTATAAGGACAGAAAGGCATAAGAAGGACTCTTGACTAATTAATTAGCCCCCCAAGCAAAGGTAATTTTAGAAGATATGTAGCAACTACTGCTCATTTAGTCAAGGGGAAGGAGAAACAGTAGTTTTATACTTTGTCTGAAAAGAAGGGATCCTGTTTCAGGTTAAAGCAGTTAACCATATCCCTATGAAACAAGATAACACCCCTATTGTAGGGGAGCAACCTTATCTACTTCTCAGTCCTAGTGAAGGTTAGTGAAGGTTGCTAGTCCCCAAGGGATCTGAGCAGAAAAGAGTATCTATGGCTACTGCAGCAGATCCTCATTAGGAAATGTAAATGCTCACTGGACACTGATGCGGCTTGAAATACATACAGAAATACACCATAGTGTTGATTGTAGCTCCTCAGACTAAGCACTCACACTACTCTTGGGAATCCTAATGAGCCAGGAGAGTAACAGCCATTGGAGTGTTCTGACTGTGAGTGCCCCTGTCTTTTCGAGGTGGTGAGAGTAAGAGCTGCACAATAGCTATTTTATGACTATCCAGTTCCATGGTGCCCAAAGCATCTGTTGAAGTGGTATACGGAACCAAACCAACATTGACTACTGCTACAACAGCAGTACTGAATGAAGAAATCATTTGCTCCCTGTGCCACACCACCACGAAATGGTGTCCTGCAGTCTTCAGCATTGCTAACTGATGGCCCCAACAATGAACAGAAAATCCACAGCACTGCAGTTTTCTTTTTGCATCCGTTTTTCTACTTCTCGGCACACAAGTTATCAGGTTCCTCCTCAAAGTTAAGTCTCAGATTAAAGACTTTTGTATTTGAAGATAATGCTTCATTTACAGACAAGGAGTATTATTATACTTCATAGTATCTGGCTCCAGTTTATATATAAGGAAAACAATACTGTCCAGCTAATTTGTACCAAGTTTATCTTGCTATCAGAAAGCTAATGAAAGTTTTTGTCTTGTTCATTTGAGGGTTTACAGGGACTAGAGTAAATTGTTGGCAGGAACAATGGAAGATAATTTTCTTTTTTCAATTTATATCTCTTATGAGATAATCAATACACAAACAGAAAACATCTAAGTACAGAGTATTTCTTGTGGATGTTCTTGAAGCAGCCCAGAGCACAGGTTGGACTGTATTCTCTCTAAACATCAGCAGCAACATGTAAACACATTCAACAAAGAAAAATGAGTTTGCAAGGCATCTTACCTGATTTGTCTATAATTGCATCAATTTCTTCAACAACATCAAAATAGGCTTCATTGTTGGTGTATTTTACCCCTGCTCTGCGCCAAGGAATGTTGGACAACTGTCCGGTGGGAAGTGTGTCTCCCACATTACTACTGCCTTAGAAAGGAAAAGGAACTCAAAATCAGTAATTAATTACAAGAATGTTTCAGCTGCTAAAATTAAGAATCAAAGCAAGGTTTGCCCCCAAGAACTGCAGACTAGAACCTGGACCAATAAAATGTTATTTGTGAGGTGATGTGAATGCACTTTAACCATGTGGCCAGGCTTAACTGGACTCAACTCCAGGTTTTCAGCACAGCAAAATACAAGGCTCGAGTCAGCAGGAGGTCTGAGTGGGAGTAGATGTGGGGCTAGATACTGTGAAGGACTTTATCACAATTCCAGACAGGACAGCTCCTTGTGAGTGTCTTAAGCCTGCTTCCCCCTTCTCCTAAGAGTTTTAGCTGGCTGCCTTCAGGGCTGATTTACAGCCAGGAGGCGTTAGGAAGACAGCCATGTAGGAAGCCTTAAGGAAGGCTCCCACACTCTGCTTGGGAGTGCCTGTCAGCCTGGGGCTCACCCTTGGTACACATCTGAGCTACCCTGCAGCAACATGACTGCCACGTCTACACCTGACCATGCGCCAAATTTATCCAGACCCTGGCCAGAGACTTGACCTGTCCCATTCTGATGGACTTTCCTGGCAATCACCGAGCTATGACCTGATATCATCTGATCCTGTCCCTGACCTGTTGGCTCAACCTCTGGGCTCTTTACCAGTAATGCCACTGCCCCTGGGCTCCTGGTTCTCAGTACCACCCAGCATGAGAAAAGGGCTTCCTGAGCTACCTAGTTATAAAGTAAACTGATGATGCTTTGAAAAGGAAAAAAAATAAACCTTATCACTTCTGAGGCTTAGGTGACTGATCCCAGAATCCCAATACAGCAGAAACAGCTCCCTCTGCTAGAGGCAGGTCTCAGGACAGGGCCACAGCTCATGCTTGCTTGTGCCCTTCAGCTCGATGAACATGGTAGTGTGTCCTGCCATGTGAGAGTTTCACTGAGAAGCTGGCAGTCAGCAGGTATCATTTCTACACAACCTGCAGGGTAGGCTCTCTCCTAGCAGGCAGAAAACAGAAGTTTCCATTCTTTGGAGCTAATAAAAGAACTCACACACACAAAACCCCCTTCCTAAAGTCCATCCCTGTATGTGCTATAACACATAGGGGAGAAGTTGCAACCATTTCCTCACTCCCACTGCACCTCTGAAGGTAGCAGTTGCCCTGTCTGTTGCTCAGCAGCCTTGCAGGGTGCAGCAGTGCTACTCTGGCTGGGCTGCCAGGCCAGGTACATACGAGAGCCCTCAGGCTGCTGTTGACAGTGACAAGTTGCAGACTGCCTTGGGCAGGCACTCTAGGCTCCTAGGGAATTCTAATAAGGCTTTAGATAAAACAAGAGGATTTGATGCTGCAACCCTTGGCTTCAGGAGTCTTAATACTCCTTACAGTGGGTCATCTAGTCCACGAATGTCACATTTTTCATAAGTGTAACTGCTATCATCCAAACCCACATTTAAAAAAAACCTCTACTAAAGCCCCAAATAACAGAAATTAAATTTGATGAGAGTTACACTCACAGACTAAACCATACCTGCCACCTAGAAGACCAGCTCCTCCGAGCACAACCTGTGTGGCCCTGTGGCCCAGATACTGCCCTTCTCTAACACAATGTACAGACAAACATCTCCCATGTCTCTGACCCCACGTGACACCTCATGGCACACCTCCCTTGCACCCGCTTGCCAGACAAGCAGATTCCACTGGCTCAGCTGACAGACATTTGGCTCTGTCACTGCAAGACAGACCCACTTACAACTGCCTGAAATCAGCTCCAAATTCGAATCCATGAATCTATATGCTGACTGAAGGTGGGGGCAGGGAGGAGGCTGAGGACAGGCTGTTTGCTTCCCTTCATGCTATCTGCTCCCAGCCAGCAAAGATTTATTAGGTATCTATTATATACCTTTCTGTAATGATTTCTTCTAAAATGCTTAACCTTCTCCAATGCCCCTCAGTTATTCAAGGCTTGGGGCTAGCTCTGTACCAATCCCAGAGCACCTGTCTCCAATATGTCCTGACTGTACTGAGAACTGCTGTTCCTGAAAGACTTCAGCAGCTGTGCCTGGACCAGACAGTGTCACTGGGGATAGCAAAGGGGCCAGGCATAAACTGCAAATAAGGAGGGAGTTTTATTCAACTCCTATTTATGAGAAGTGTCAGGACAGTGGCCTCACCTGACAGATTCACAGCAATACAGTATTTTTAGCTATGAGGAATGATGAGGCTTTTTTTTCAAACAGCCATCACTGCTGAGAAGCATTTATTCTCATACCTGTGATGGAGTTGACCACAGAGCGCAAAATTGTGGGAGGCTTAATCAGCTCCTTCAGTATGTTAGATTCTGTTGCCAGTGGAAAGCCATTGTCTAGCATTTCTTCTAGAAGTTCATACACAATTACTACATTGTCCTTAATTGCAGTCTCAGAACATTCGCCGAAGTAATCCTAAACAAATCAGAGATTACAAAGGAGAGGATTTTTATTCCTGGTAAAATGCTTTGCAAAAGTAAGTTTGTTTGTTTTTCTTACAGAAACCCTCCAATATATGAAGGCATTTTAGTGCCTAAACTGACAGCTATTTCTATAGCCTGATGGCATCATATGCTAAGGTTACATCTAACAATCTAATTGGAAATAATGACAGCATGAACAGTGAAAGTCATGTAATCTGTTTACTAGCATATATGTCCCAAAGGTCCTTCCACTTGTGAACATTCACACATCTTTGGGTAGAAGACTCTTGTAAAATAAAGAAACTATCTTCTGGCAATGCTCAGTCTTCACAGAGGTCCCTTTATTTACAGTATTTGTGAAACTGGCTGAGAAGTAACTCATGCTTCCTCCCTGCAGAGTGCAGGCTGCCTGACTGCATGCTCCTTCTTCCCATCTACATAACAGGAACAGCACAAAAGCTTACAGAAGGGAGACAGAATTTACAAAGTGGGACTTGGGTTTTAGTGCCTGTGCACTGGTAACTATAAAATCAAGCGAATACACAAAATACACCTTTTTTTTCCCTTTCTACTCTATAAACCTGTGCTTGACTTAAAAACCTCAGAGGGGGAAAGTCACTGCCAGGAGGGTTTATTACCTTTCTTTAAAAGAAGTTTATACAAAAAATCCCTTGGAATTATTTTAATTTTAACATTATTTAATGGTGACAGACCTGGAAAGTGTCTGCTACTCGGTGCAGAAATTCAATTACAAAGAGTGGTGGCACTTCTGTCTGTATGACAGACACAAAGAAGATTTTATCCCGGTAGATGCTGATGAGGTAGTGATGTGGAGTTGAGATGACAGGAGGCACATTCTCAACATCGATTGCCTTCTCCTGAGCTTCAAAGAAATAATCGCACACAGACTGGCTCACAACACTCTTCCAGTGCTTCTCCAAGAATATATCACCAGAACAGTTTATAAGAAACAGGCTGTGGATCATTTTCTGTTGGAAACACATTCAAAGAAGTTAAAATAAACAAGAGGATATGCGATTTGACTTTGTTTCTTCTCCCAGATTCCCTTTCTTACAATGGTTATTCTTTGCAAACACGCACTGTAGATTTAGGAGACAGATTTGCTCTGCTGCTTTTCTTTAAATTGCACTTTCTTTATTTAGAAGAATGTTCCAGCAAAAAATATTTCCCAGTGGATTAAGCTGTTAACATGTAAGCAAGAAGCAAGCACCCTTGATTTCCACTTTCATCTCTATTTGGTATTTACAATCTATTTCTTAAAGACAAGCTGAGTCTCGTGAACTGGCACTCCCTTAAACGTGTCTGCTGACTTGTAGGTAAAGCTGCCTATGGCAGAGGAGTTTGTGTGACATTTACACATGGAACCAAGAACTGGCCTATCTTAAAGATATAGCTCTCTAGCTTGTCAGCTTTCAGCTCCAGAACTAGCAAAGTGGTTTTTATTTGCTGGCTGATTAGCCCTTTACTTATGATCTATGCCAAGCTGCACTTGGATAAAGGGTCGGAATTCACTAAAAGTACACAAAACTAGGGGTTTAAATCTGATTTGATGAATAAAATTGCCTCAGATGTGCTTGGCACATATGAAATGTGTTTTCATAAAATGTTTTTCACTTAAAGACTCACTCATGAAAAAAGGGAGTATGAACTGCAGATAAAGAATGTAACTTTTTGCTTATATCTCTAAACATTTACAAATAGCATGTCTCAGCCACTGATCCTTCATTTTATTCAGAGGACAACAAGCTTATCTGCTTCTTCTTTAAGAACAAATTCCCAGTCTATTTCTCAACTTTCAGTGAGATAGTAAGTGAACTGAGTTGTTGACACAAATGAAGAGAACAGACTCTTTTCTTCACATCTACTGAAGAGACAAATGCTAGCAGACTTCAGTTTATCTCTTCAGCCTTTACATGAGACAGATACAATGCTCTGGCTGACCTGCAACATAATGATGCTCTGACAGAAATAAGTTCCAAGTTTAAACTCGGGCTTGGAAAACAAACTAAACTGTAACCCAAGCACTGCCTTCCCAAGGTGAAGTTAACCTGGTACTTACATCATGCATAAATTCACTCTGTAACTGAAGAAGCTGCCAGTGGCTATTCATCCCTTTTGCCTTTCAGGTATTGATTTGAGCAGGTCTGTGGCTCTGCAATTACCTGCATTAGGAAAGTGGTCCAGCTATAACTGACCCAATAAAAGGAGTTTCTGGCCAGATCAGCTTCCTAATGCAAGATACCACATTGCCAGAGATTGAGTGCTACAGCTGGCACAGGGCAGGTGGAGGAAATGGGCAACGATAGCAATGGAGATAGTGAAGTTTATTTAGTCTTTGGAGGAACTCAAACATGACTGGAAATAGACCAAATAGTTACTGGGCATCCACACCTTGAAACAGGAAGATCATCATCAACTCTGCATGTCCAAGAGAAGCCAAACACATCTACCAAAAACCTATCACAGTTTCATTAATCTTACGATGTTTGGCCGAGATCATGTCAGAAAATGCAGATAGAATTTCATCCTTCACTAATGTTAACCCTGGCACTAATGTGCAGATGGCATGGGAGCATCTAGATGTAAATGGCCCATTCCCACAGAGATTTTAAGGAGTCCAAATACTGTATGACTAAGCCTCATTCCGAAATATTGGAATAAGCACTTAGCTCCATCCAGATTGAGCTCGTGTTGCTGGGTCTGAATCTAAACTGTCCAAAGTACTAGACTGACCTCCCAACATGCTTGTAGCAATGAAAAATGGTCTGGCCCTGAAGATTTTGACAAAACAAAAATATGTCTCCCAAAGCTCACAAGAGACAGTGAAAAAGGACAGCTAAACAAGGTCACATGTTATTTCCCTCCACCTAAGTCAGCAGATGTGGGAAAGGAGCCAAGATCCAGCTTTTCAAATTCTAAACTCCAGCTGCTCCTTCACATGCATTACAGCAACGTGCTCATCTTCACTGGGGCCTGCCGGACCTACCTCCTGCAAGGAGCACACTCCCTTTGGTGGCAGACACAAAAAGACCAATAGTCAAAATGTGGACAGAAAAATCCAGCTAAGACAACAGAGTATATAAGAAGAAGTTCTCTTAGAAACTGTAACTGCCAATTTGATTAAGAGTGGGAAAGGAAACAAAGCTAAAAAGTGTTATTGCATGTTTCTCCTGTCTCCTTCCTGGACCAAATTAATCTCTAATTTAGTTTCTTAAAAACCAGACAATTTTAACACTGTGAGCACAACATTTTTATAAAGGAGCCTTGACACAATTGCTTTCATCCAGTTCAACTAAACATGTTCTGAATTTAGACAGCATTGAACATTAAACCCCTCCAAAATCTCCTGGACAGTCGCACAACGGCGGCAAGTATAATTAACCACTGAATGTCAGTATTGTTCCACACCAGGCAGCCCAAACAGATGAAGGTGATCAGCTACAAAGCTTAGAATAGATCTCTGTACATTTCAATATGGATACAATGGCGTATCTGTTAACAAATATAAACCCCAATTCCAAGGAAATGCACACAAAGCTGCATCACAGAGTTCCAGTCCAAGCAGCACTGATAAGACTCCCTTTCCAGAGGAGCTGCTCTGATTCCAGAGGCCTGCTCTGGAAGAGCTGTGCAGGACTGCAGGCAGCTTCCCATGATACTCTGACTGAGTGCATCATCCACATGTGACAGGGTGTTTTGAAGCCCCAGTAGCTGTCCTGCTGTTAACATTCATACAGATTCCATTGATCAGAAACGACTGCATTTAGCACAATATACTTTTAACAAGCACAGCTGTGCAGCAGCCAACATCGTCACAGCAAGCTCCTGGTGCACCGAACAGCTGTGTTAGCAGGGGACCTTCTGCTGCTCTAAGCTCCACTCAGGATATTAGAGCACAACTGGATATGCAATCAAGGGAGGGTGTGGGTAGCCACACAGGGTGACAGTGTTGGGCCACTGCCCGTGTTTACTCACCCACCTCGAGCTGGCTGGGTATGGCTGTGTTCACATGAGTGCTTGCGTGGCCCCATGGGGAACTGCAGCAGCAAACTGATCCAGAGGACCTTGCTTGGCAGAGAACAGCTTTGCAGTATCTGTGGAAACTGAGCAGTAAAATCCCACCTACTGCCTACTCTATCTTCTGGGTAGGAAGAGAGAGATTACAGGATTTCCCATGATATATAATTATTCTGCTGCTAGTGTTAAGAGTTCCCTTCAAATCCCCTCACATACTCCTTTCCTCCTTCACCAGTTTTAGCAGTATGCTAACTTGCTGCTAAAATGAAGTGCTCTGAAAAACTGAAGCTGTCTCCTTGCAGCCCAGGTCCAGAGCAGGCAGCCCCAGAGGCACAAGTCCTGCCCCATCAGTCAAGGGGCATCAGCTGGTGCACTTCCCAGTGCTGACTCTAACAAAGGAGCTCTTATAGCAGTGGGGACATCAGTCTGTTATACACAGGACAAAGTAATTTGATTTATCCCACACACTGTCAAGCAACTGGCACCAGCCAATTAAACACGGATTTCATGCTGTGTATCTTAGAACTGGTAACAATACAGAAATATCTTATGTAAACTATTCTTTAACAAAAATTACTTAGAGTGCTCCAAATACTGAAGATTTCCCTGCCACTCTATTTTTGAGTGCCAGAATTCATTTCAGACATGAGAGATCCCCAAATTCATTTCTCAGAGCCCTACCTTCTTCTGTCTCATTGGAACATTAGATTTGCAAAGAAAAAACGATTGGAAAATGCTGAACGTAAGAAATCAATCTAGTAACAGTCAAATTCCTCACACCAAGAGGTCAATACTTGTGGCCAAACAGTGAAGCGTGTTAAGAGATGCAGCACTTTGAGGGTAAAGGTCTTGAATCAAAGTTCCTAAGTTTAGAAAAGCAGTAGCAGAAGCCAAACACACCACCACAATTTAAGAACCGTGAGATTCTTCTACGTGCAGCAGTGTAGGCATACACCATGTGGAGATGTCAGCATAAAACCACTCCACGCCAGATGCTGAAGATGTGCTTCCAGGACCATTTCAAAAGGCCATGCCTCCCATCTCTCTGCTTTTAGGCCTCCTAAGGGCAGACTGAACGTGTACATGGATCATTATTTGCATCTTTATGCCTGAGCAAGCCATTCAAGCACATTTTCAGCAGACTGACAACCTTCCATACTACTGCCTGACTGAAAGGCATTTTATAGGCTCTGCAGCAACAAGCAGCCCAGCAGAGGTTTTGCAGCTTCTTCTGAAGACTTTCCACCCTTGCTCTGACACACAAAACTCCACATGATTCTTTGTAGTCATTTCCATCCTACCAGAATTCGAAGGCCTCACAAAAGAGATAAATATTTTAACTAAGATGCCTTCAATATGCTGTTTCCACGTCTGTATCTTTTCTTTTGACTAAATCTGGATTTTGCAATGTTACTGTTTTTTTGAATCTCTTGGCACAGAAACATCTGGACTGAAGTCACAGCAGGCTCACAAGACAAAAGTGGAGTTCATTGGCAAGAGGGAGAGGCTGCAAGCATGGGAAAAAGTCTGATTGCACATGTTTGTCCTTAGCTACAATTATGTACTCTAAAATGTAATTAATGCAGAAATACTGTTACCAGCTGCTTTTCCATAACACTGAGCTGAGTTACAGTCAAAGCTCTGAAATCAGGAAGTGAGGAATTTATCACTGACCTCTGCAATGCCCTTTAGAGCTAGTAGTAATTACTGAAGACAGCTCAAAACAGGACCATCACTGGGAAAGTATTCCACAGCTTCCATGTTCCCTGAATTTGGCATAGCTGCTCTGAAGGGTGGAAGGATTAGTGGGGGTGGACTGAGTTATGTATTTGTGGAAATGAACTTTTACTGACAAGTGAATGGAAAGTAATCAAATGCCTAAAGTAATCTGGAGAAACAAGTAAGCCAAAATAGTCAGTTCTATTTTAAATCTATTATTTTTGTCACAACCAG